ATTTCTCTAAGAAAGATTATAATATTGTCCTTATATATCTATTCCTGTACTTGCAGTTTCTTCTTTAACGAGACTGTCCGTTGAAATTGTGTGATTCACATGATTTCTTCATGCATGTGATGTGCTTGCAGATTTTATCTCTGACAGTATTACATAGGCCCACATTAATGTTAGGGTGATCAAGAAATTCGATAAAATAGAACAGAGGAAGAGAAACATGTAAGGTATTTACAGTAACTCAGGCATTTTAATAAAGCTTGCTATGCGTATTTTAATTGACGCAAGTAAAGAGGTTGGTCTAGAAGTAAACACAGAGAAAACTAAGTATATGTTGCTGTCTCGTCAACAAAATGCAGGGTAAAATCATGATATAAAGATAGGAAACAGATGGTTTGAAAATGTGGCACAGTTCAGATATTTGGGAACAACGATAACAGATCGAAACCTGATTCAGGAGAAAATTAAGAGGCGATTGAACTCGGGTAATGTTTGCTACCATTCAGTCCAGAACCTTTTGTCTTCTCATCTGTTGTCCAGAAACATAAAAATTAGAATATACAAAACTATAATTTTGCCTGTGGTTCTGAATGGGTGTGAAACTTGGTCTCTGATTTTAAGGGAGGAACATAGACTGAGGGTGTTTGAGAACAGGGTATTGAGGAGAATATTTGGACCGAAGAGAGATGAAGTGACAGGAGGTTTGAGAAAACTGCATAATGAGGAGCTTCATAATTTGTACTCTTCTCCAAGTATAATTAGAATGATCAAGTCAAGGAGGATGAGGTTGGGAGGTCATGTAGCACAAGTGGGGGAGGCGAGGAATGCGTATAGGATATTGGTGGGAAAGCCAGAAGGAAAGAGACCACAGGGAAGACCAAGGTGTAGGTGAGTGGACAATATTAGAATGGATCTTAGAGAGATAGGATGGGATGGTGTGAATTGCGTAATCTGGCTCAGCATAGGGACCAGTGGAGGGCTCTTGTGAACTCGGTAATTTACCTTCGGGTTCCATAAAATGCTGGGAAATTCTTGAGTAGCTGCAGAATTGGCGGCTCCTTCAGAAGGGCTCAGCTCCATGAGTAACTAAGTAAGTATACGTATTGGTTGTCTTATTCCGTAACAGAATATGAAGTGTAAGGTAGGCCGCACACCGGCATGCGTCAAGACATGTAACAGTGAAGACACGATGTCTGCGACATGACGCAAAGAAGGGAGCACAGTTGTAACGAATGAGATTATGAAAACCGCCTCACACCGATCTGAGTCATGTTGCTGACGTCAGCTTCATGCTGACCAATCACGAATGAAGTAAGACTGCGACTTTTGTCTCATGTCTTGATGCTTGTCTTGGCGCAGTTGGTGTACGGCCGCCCCAACAGTTAACTTGTGGCAATTTAATATTATATGATGAAGTTCATAATTATACTGTTTATCTAACTAAATCGAATAGGCTGTACTGGATAAGGCAAGCAGCAAGCATGTAGAACAATACGATGTAAATGCATTAAAATTTTTGCTTGGAAGTCCTCAGAAAAGAGAGCAGCTGAGTAAGAGAGACGTAGATGGATAACACTAAATGAATCTTGGGGAAATATTTGAGGATGTGTACTGGATTGCACTGAACCAGGACAGGGTCCAGCGTCCTTTTGACAGCAATGAATTTTCGGGTTCCATAACAACATTGAATTTTGGGGTCAGCTGATAGTTAACGGCCTGATTCAAAATATCCCGTGCCTTCGGGTTAATTAAAAAGATTAGAGTAAGAGTGCAAGAATTCCTTGCTTTATTTGGCACTTCATGTTAATTTTCAAAGATAAAGAGATAATGTAGAAAATCCACTGGACCAAGGCGCCAGCACCCCATGTGGTTCTGTTTTGTTGGCGTGAGTTGAAACGGACCAAATAAAATACTTGTAATACTGTTGCATGAAAGTAAAGCCCTACCCTCATCTATCAATTTGTAGTGGCTGCAGGAGGGAGTGTACTCGAAAGTGGTGCATATTTCTTCCAGGCTTTTAAATAGGTTCATACATTACTTTTCTCGTTACAATCGCGGGGGTGGCCTGGCTCATTTACCGGCTAAAGTTTATGATCTGCACAAAGTGAGGAGATGGCATTGCAGCTCTTCTTTTGTTTCGCAAAAAGTCGCTCTTTGTTATTTGAATTTAATCGTTGTGTTAGTTTATCAGAGTTGTCGGCAGGAGAAACGGTTCGTACTCCTGCCTCGTACAAGTAAAGATCCGGATGCAAATCTCTGTGCCCAAAAATCGGTTATTTTGACTGAGATTTCCATGACTTTCTTTCTCAGTCCTTCGAGGTAGATCCCGTGATAACGCCTTGAAGTAGGTGACAACAGATTCATTCTACATCCCTTCCAATTTGTATGCACTAATCATCCAGTCACTCACTATTATTAAAGTAAAAAAGTTAAAGGTATCCCTGTAACAGGCCGTAGAGGCCCATAGGGTTGTGAGATATTGAGGTTCTCACATTTTCTAGATAATCGGCTCATAGATGGCGGCAAGGTTGTCAGCCCTACGCGCCGGCCGCCCTTTACCTCCAAGAATATTCCATAGTGCGGCTGGAAGGATTAGGTCAATTGAAAAAAAAAATCCAATGACCTAATCGGGACTTGAACCCGCGACCTTCCGGCTTGTAGCACAGTGCCTCAACCAACTACTCACTGCTATGAGATACAGTAGTTCCTGGTGTCTAAGCCGCAGACTCTTCCACAGAAAAATGATCCTAAATATTGCAGTGCGTCTAATACACAGATGCGTATTAGAAAAATAAATAAATTTCCCCTTCCTAAATGGGGTCATTTTTTTTTAAATTGACCTAATCCTTCCAGCCGCACTATGGTCCTTGGGTCAACTCAGCCTCTAACAGAAATGACTACCAGGAATGTTGCTGGGGATAAAGAGCGGCCGGCGCCTAAGGCTGACAACCTCACCGACATCTGTGATCCGATTGCCTAGAATATGTGGGAGCCTCGATGTCTCACAACCCTGTGGGCCTCCGAGGCCTGTTACATGGATAGCTTTACTTTTATTTTACCCAGACATTTATTTGTCTAACATACCATGCATCTTATGAACCGGAAAATATACAGTTTGGGTAATTGAAAATGTCGTTAAGTAATAATAATAAAAATGGAATTATTTTATTTCTCCCCTGATCATAAAGCGAACGTACGGACCGACGTCAAAGGGCAGGTTAGATTTGAAGTTATAATCGTGTTCAGATTGTTTGTCGTCCAGGGTGACACATTTACAATTTTCCGTACGAAAACACAATAAAGCGCTGGCCGGTTTCGTTCGCCCGTTAATGCAAACAAGTTACATTATTCAGTTATATAAAAAATTAATTTGTGAATGAATTATGCAGTATACTGCCCTTAAAATATTTACATGTGTGTGCATAAACAGTTTCGACTGTAGGTATTGATCGAGTTTTTGGTTATGTAAGCCTGTTATTCAATCAGTCAGTTGTTCACGGCAGCCTCTGTACCAATCCATATCTGCCTGCCCTCACAGTTATCTTCATGTGTCATTTAGTCTTATATAATCTGTTAAATCTGTTAAATAATCTAAAAATAAAAGTATGACTTTCCTTCTCAAAAATAATTTAAATTGATACGCTTTCTTCCTGTTATTACAGAATCTAAAAGCGTCATCATTGACGTCATAAAGTTCGCGTTTGGCTGTATCCTACAGTACTAGTTCACCCATTTTTAAAGATCAATTTTAAAATTTCCCTCACTTCTACAGCTATATGCATACACGTCTATTCCGTCGAGATTTTTCAATAAAAACTTTATTGTCGATTTCTTGTTTCTTCCATACGTCCCACAAATTTTGAAATTCCTGTTCTCTTTAATCTTACTTTATAATTATACAGTGTTTAATGAAGGACTTAGACCACACCTCCTGAATTTTTTATTTCAATGATACGTATGTAAACCCATTTAGCCGTTTATGGCACACTGGGTACTGCAGTATTACCTTTAACACGAAAAATAACGGTACTTTTGCCGAAAGAGTGAAATGCTATGTTTATTTTTTATTTTCAAAATAACCAGCGGATCTTTCGCTAAACAGAATCATCCATTTATATTCTATCAAATGTTCCGTCTGTAATGCAAATTGATTCACACTTCAATGTCACACAGAGGTCGTCAAGATGTCATATAAAACCACTAAAATATTAAAATATGTATCTATTAATATAATGCTACATGTTTCGGCCTCATAAGGCCATCTACAGGCAGCACTTATGTGAGGAATCCTATTGCACAGCGCACGAATCAAATGTAATTTCTTCTATTACTTTCCTTTCATTTTTGATGTTTTTCCTATTCATATGTTTATGTAGTGCGGCTATTTCTGTATTTCGCTGGTGTGCTCGTGATTGTATATATCAAGTGTGCCTTTGCGTTCACTGTATTTCTTCAAATTTGTTAATTCTATATGACATGGTTACCTGCTCAGAATGAGAAACTGTAGTATTACTTGAAACATGCTGAAAAATTCAGTCTTCATTTTATATTCATTCATATTGGTGTAGTTATATTTTCGCATAGTGGGGGTGGAGTCCAGCTGGGTCCACTCGGCACGTCGGGCACTTATTGGCCTATTGTACCTGCCCCGGGTGTGTATGATGATGGAGAATTTGGTGGAATGAAGATTGGCAGGGAAAACCTAAGTACTCGGAGAAAACCCGCCCCAGCGCCACTTTGTCCACCACAAATACCACTTGACCAGACCCGGGATCGAACCCGGGCCGCCGCGGTGGGAAGCCAGCGATTAACCGCTTGAGCTATGGCGCGGCCTGGTGTAGTACCCTAGTAGTACCCTAGATTCTTAATGACGAAGTTGGCAACACTTAAAGCAAGTTGCGCGCAACTTCCATCATGCAATAGTTATTTCTCATGTACAGTGTTTTTTATCTGTTCAGTGATGTCACGTGCTTGTTTCGAAGTAATAGTTTTATTTTTTATAAAATATAAACGTGAGCTGTTGTAATTATTACGTTACATATATACCTGTAACTAATAAAACCCAGTTACTGTTAAACGAAGGTGTAAACTGACGTTAGAAATGTGGAGAAATGTGCGTTTCGAAAGAGGACAATGTAATGAAGGGGTAGAATGATAATGTACAATGTGGGACATTGCGTTTATTCTGCCGATTGTGGGTATTTCTTCTAAATCTAAATCACATTTATATTTCGAACCCGCCGTGCAAAGTACATCGAGTTATTCTGACATGAATACAAAATTTGTGCTAAATGGTTTTGAGTTGGGTGATATATTTCATGCCACTGAAGGAAGAGTAACTTACCACAGGTACGTCATATCAGTTACAAGATCGTGGACTTGTGAATTCATAGTTACCTCCAAATTTGGCCGCGTCATGGCTCAAGCGGTTAGTCGCCGGCTTTCCACCACGGCGGCCTGGGTTCGATCCCGGATCTGGTCAAGTGGGATTTGTGGTGGACAAAGTGGCGCTGGGGCAGGTTTTCTCCGAGTACTTCGGTCTCCCCTGCCAATCTTCATTCCACCAGTTGCTCCACAATCACCCTCACCTATCATCTGGGGCTGGTACAATAGGCCAGAAGTGGCCACAGTACAATGGACTTAGGCCAACCCCATTAGCAATAAGAAAGAACCTTATAAGAAATTATTAAATTGAAACGAATGTTGCATGTGCTCAAATATTGTGATCAGGCCTCATGATAATAAAACACACACTTGTTCTGTCAGTAATATTCTTTAATTTCTGCACAGAATGTTCGTAATACAATACTTAAATGTCAGACAAGACCAACTTCGAAAACATATACTCGATCTGAGAAGTGTGGCAAATGGAACTGCTGAAATTATTTCGGTTGTAATTATGGATATTAATAAATCTCTAAAAAGAAATGGCAAAATTAAGATATTTGAGTACCATAGGAACAAATGAAAATTGAATTCAAAAACAGATTAAGAACATATTCAATTCAGGGAACGCTTTCCACAATTCACTCAGAATCTTCGTCTGTGTATAAATCTGAAGACTAAATACACAGGCTATAATTTTGCTTGTATTGTATGGGTATGAAAAACTTGATCTTTTACTCCTCATACAAAAGCATAGAATGAAGATGTTTAGGAACAGATGCTTGGGAGACTATAATGAATGAATGTACAAGGGGTGGGCCTTCTTGGCCCTTGCACTTCGACCACAGTGATCTATTGTGCCTAGGGAGGCTATAAGGACCTATCCTAGAGGGAAATGTGGATGGAGAAACTTACATAATGAGGAAATTCATTATTTATTTTAACATATTAAGGTGATCAAACCAAGAATGATGAGGTGTATGATCCTGTGACAATTGTAGGTGGGTTGAAAAATGCATTCAAAATTTTGGTTGCAAATTTGAATGCAAGAGACAACTTGGAACACTTACGTGTAGGTGGAAGGATGTTTTTAAAATTGATATTAAAGGAAAAAGGATGAGACAATACTGACTGGATTCGTCTGGCCCTGTATGTGGACCATTGGCTGGCTTCTGTGAGCACCAAAATTAATTCCTGGGTTCCTTAGAATGCTGAAAAATATTGTGACCAGTTTTTTGCTTCTTAAGAGCACTCAGCTCAGTGGAATTGGTTTAAAAAGAGGATATGTTCATATTAGATTGCATGCCATTGCGTTGCACAATGTATACCATTCTCAGATATATTCATCACAAATTACAGTTAGCAATGTTATATTCTGAAGGCCCAGCATGTTTAATGCTTATAACATCATCTTCTGGGGCTCATTTTATTTACTTTGCAGGTTGTGTATTTAATACATGGAGCTAAACATTCCTAGGTTTGGTTAAATTGTGTTAATTAAATATGTGAGATGCATTTACTCCCTGTGTTTCTGTATCGACATTCGTCTGGAGGGACTGGATAAAACTCTGAAAGCTCCATTCACAGTTGTCTGAGTTTGGCGGAGGTTGGAAAACAAGTCTACCGAAACAGACCATTCTTTTGCTGCTAAGACATATTTGGAACGTTTGAACCTATGTGATGTGTAGTAAGGCGCTGAACATACTAGACCACAATGAACTTAGTAATCATGGGATGGATATGTGATCAGGATTTATATGGTTAAGTTCTTTTGCATACTTCTGCTAACAGTTTTGAACAGGCTGTTACGTTCCGAGGGGAGAAATAAATTTGGTGCTGAATTTTGGTAGTTATAGAACTTTAAATTCTGTAGCATAACTCTAAAAAGAAAGGAAGTGTATCATTGAGTTTATTTGTGATATTGGAAAAGTTCTTTATGTGATTTATGGGGCACGCGGTAGCGTAGTTGGTTGAGGCATTATGCTGCTAGCCGAAGGTCGCGGGTTCGAGTCCTTTCAACTGACCTAATCCTTTCAGCCGCACCATGGCCCTGGAGTCGACTCAGCCTCTAACAGAAATGAGTAACAGGAATCTTTCTGTGGGGTAAAGGGCGGACGGCGCGTAAGGCTGACAACTTTACCGCCAAAGAAAATGTGGGAGCCTCGACGTCTCACAATCCTATGGCCCTTCACGGCCTGTTATATGGACAGCTGATTTATTCTACGACGCTGTCGGACTAAATAATATGATGATCGGTAAATAATAAATTGGAAAGAATCGGAAAGAAACCGGTTGTGTCCTGTTCGAGATATTGTCCCAGCTTTGCCTGGAGGGACTGAGGTAAACCAGGGAAAACTTCAGTCAAGATAACTGATATTTCGGTCGATATTCGAAATGCAGTACGTTCGAATACAAGTCTGGGGCGTTACTGCCACTCTGACCTGTTCGGTATATTTTAGTATAAGCTTTGCCCTAACCATGAGAGCCAAGTAGACTAATGCAAGTCAGATATTCGAATTTCCGCACTGAGGAAATTTGGGCTGTCCGAAGTCTTGCAGATTATTTTATTGATGTGATAAACGAGCCACAAAAACTCCGTGGCCTGTAGTCCGCAAGCGAACTATACCGACCGAGCGACCGCCCCTTGTCGGCGAAGTTAGTGCCAACTGTAGCGGATAGAGGGTGTCGCATGGTCAGCTCAACGGATCCCCACGGCCGTTAATCTCGATTTTCTAGACCGGAGCCGCTATTTCCTTGAAATAGCTCATCGGTTATCCTCATGAGGCTGATTGAATCCCGTTCTAGACCCACTACCTCTCAGTAAACCCGGTAGCGCCGCGAATCGAACCCGGGACCTCTGGTTCTGTAGTCATGAACTCTCACCACTAGACCACAGAGGCGGTCCAAACGAGCCACAAAACTATGAATTTATTTTTAGGCACAACAGTCTATTTGTAGGCCTGTTTAACCAACAACACGTGATTTGCAACACACGTGAATTTACAGATGGTTTATTGGATAACAAATATAAAAATTCTACTTACTTTTTCTGGTTGTGGTTTATTTGTGCTCTATGCAAGATCAACATACTAGTTCTTCCCTCTTCTGCCTGTGGTTTCTTCTTTGTTCCGTACGTTGCCGAACCTGTGATTGCTAACATAACGGTTTGTACTTGTTCTGGCTAATATTCTGCATTTTCGCATGACCCGTTGAATGGATCGTGGGTTCGAATCCCACTCACGGCATGGATGTTTAGTTTGTGTGTGCGCGTTTTTCTGTGTTTGTGTACAGGTAGAGGCCTTGCGACGAGCTGATCACCCGCCCAAGGAGTCCTACCGAACGTGTAAGATCTAGAGAAACCGAAGTGAACGGAAGTTCATGGAGGTAGGCCTGGGCCCACTGGCGCTGTAGTGCCAAGGGGGGAAAAATAGAATGAAGTGCTCCGGTGCCAGACACTCCGATTTATGTAACTGCAAAGATATCCGAAAATCTTATTTATTTAATGAAATTGTGGATTAACAATTTATATCATGTTCGCCAAGCTGGGTGTCTCATTAATTCTTGGACATTTTAAACTTCATTAGTCTGCTATTGTTACAGTACGAGGTACCTACACGAGTAATTCATCCATCAGTAAACTGATTCATTTCATGATGAACCTTTCTGTCCGGTAGGAGGCATAGCGGGACAAATCGAAATTACAATTCAGAAACGGTGTAATTAACTATTCGGTTTGAATTTCATTCCAGCGCATTGCACTCTCAGTTATGTATCATGAAAAATATTTGAAATCGATATTAAAAATTTATAGAGTCAGACTGCAGGGACGAAAGCCAGGCAAATGTCGAACGCTCACTTTTCAATTTACTCGGCTACCTGTATGTACGCTTTATTGATCCCTTGCTTTTACAGTACTGTGTAAATGAACTCGACTTTAACTACATGAACATTAAAACGTGTTTTTATAGTACAGTACAAATTATTATTCCATGAGCACAAACTGTATGACCCGCTGTTTTAAAATGTTGATATTCGTCGACTAAGCTAATTTCTTTGTGTTAATGATGGAATTCTGCACATAAATCATCTATCGCAGACCACTGTGGAGATTTTCTTTTCATGGAAATGCGAACGCAATGCTAGCATGCACTTGCCAAGCCACGCATTTGAAATTCACGTCAGTTTCGCTGATTGCTTCAGTTTAATAAAATATGCAGCAACGTGTGTCTCACGACAGTGACTATGAAGATTATTGTATTATTTTATGTGACGCCATTTAATCTGGTGGTTCGTTACCGTCCTTTCGGATGAACCTACTGCCTCCACCTTGGAGTTAATACAGTGTGTGTTATCATTATTCAGACTGGGACCGCGTTTTGAACTCTCAGTGAACTTCCAATTGCTGTCACGCTGTAACACAAACTGTTTCATTGCTTTAAGAAGAAGAAACTTTGTTGTGACTGTGTTTGTCACCATCTTTGTGACTGGAGCAACTTCATGTGCCGCCAGTAGTTGTAGTCAGCGTTCCGGTGAACACAGAAGCTCTCATGCGAGGCAGGACTTCGAGCTTGGGACGTGGCAGTACGAGCGACAACCGTGAGTAGTGTACAAGATACCGTATATAATAGGAATTAGCATAGTTAATGGATATTTGCTGTTAAGGGTTGGCCCATTGTGGTATTTACGGTGATTTAGTTCAAACGGTTTGTGTATATTTCCATACAAGAATATGTGTGAGTGAGAGCCAGGAAATAAGTCACCCGCGTTTCAGTCTCTTCGTCATCAGCGAAAATTCTACCACCAAGGTGGAACTTTTTGTCTTTCTTTCTTTCTTTTTTTTAGCTGCAAAATGGATCGAAGTCATTAGAGGCCAAGTCCGGGCTGTAAGGCGGAAGTTTAATAAGTTCCCTCTGCAGTTTATGAATTCTCTCCCGGGTTGCTCGGGCTGTATGGGGTCTAGCATTATCATTGTCAGTTGGCCAAGAAGTGTCCTGCGAATTGTATCCCGATGCTTCAACAGAACTTCACAGCACAATGCAGAATTCACATTTTCACCACGCTTCTGAAAATGTGCTAACAGTACTCCATGAGAATCGCAAAACACGGAAAGCATAACCTTCCCAGCTGATGGCGTACTCTTAATCTTAAACTTTTGGTTGAAGGTGAACTGGGATGTTTCAGTTGTATTGAAACACATTTTGATTCGGGTTGGTAGTGATGCACTCATGATTGTTTCCCAGTAACAATCCTGTTATGCACATCTTCTCCTTCATCTGCATACCGCTAAGAGACGTTGCAAGGGCAGAACGTTTCGGTTCATTTTTATCGATCTTTCAGTTCTCTGGGCACCCACCATGCGCACACTTTCCGAAACTTTAAACGATTATGCATTATGCTGTGTACTAAACCATGGCAACAATCAAGCTCAGTTGCTACAGTGTCTGTTGTTGTCCTCCTGTCAGCTCGAATCAACTCTTCCACCCGCTGCACAGTTACTTCTGTCGCAGTCTCAACAGGGCGACCTGGCTGGGCATCATTTGCGACTTTCGAACGTCCTTGAGAGAATTTCTCAACCCAGCTGTGAACCGTTTTACGTGACAAACACTTTCCATAAAAAATAGGAAATGTTTCTTTACGAGTATCCTTTGCATCGAGTCCATTTGCGCACAAAAAACGCACAACAGAAATATGATCTTCGGTAGTATACACTTGAATGTTCACCATTCTGACTGTTGAAACGTGTCTTTGAACATGCGCATGCGCTTTTGCTACCTAGACTGTCGTTGATCTGTACTATGCTGCTACCTAGTGATACACATAGAAAACCTATTACGTCCATTACAGCTGCTTTACTTCCGTTTGTGACCCATTTACTGACTCTCCCTCGTACAACTGGGCAAGAGCAGTTTTTTTTATTGCTAGTGGGCTGGGACTAAGTCCCTTGTACTGTGGCCACTTCTGGCCTATTGTACCAGCCGCAGATGATAGGTGAGGGTGATTGTGGAGCAATTGGTGGAATGAAGATTGGCAGGGGAAACCGAAGTACTCGGAGAAAACCTGCCCCAGCGCCACTTTGTCCACCACAAATCCCACTTGACCAGAGCCGGGATCGAACCCAGGCCGCCGCGATGGGAAGCCAGTGACTAACCGCTTGAGCTATGGCGCGGCCGACAACAGCAGTTAGTACATATGATCATTGCACACTTGAAAGAGAGCTTAATGTCACTTCAAGCATATAAAACATTTCTTGGTGTCTATGAAATAATAAAATCAAAGAAACATATTTCAACAAAAACATTTATTTGTTTCACCTAAAGCTACTTGCTACATTCCACAGAAGTTTTGAATATTTAGTGAGAAATTTGGAAGTGAATACTTTGCTACTAAGTAGTGTCAGTTCCTGGATAATTTGTTACGAATCTTTAGGGAACGTATCACTGCTTTTTAAGTAAAAGCGAAGAAGTAGTTTTGCTGTTAGAATTATTTAGAGAAAATTAACCGAGGAAAGAATTAATTTTCATTTGAGTATGGATTAAATAATACAGCCAGTAACCATCAAGCTATGCCTTAATGATATCTTGTTTCACCGTTGCTCTGATACCATGTGATCTAAATAGCCTAATTTGTGTCAGTCTACCTGGAAATTGTATTGTAGGTAGACACATGAGACATGGATAATGGAGTGAGCAGCAAACAATTGAACCCATCAAGCAGTTTATACTTTGAACGGAACTAGACTCGTACAACTGATTGGGAGTGTATTTAAGGCTTGAATTCAAGTTATTTTTAGGATTTATTGGTACTTGCAATTACTGAATTTCACCGAACTCTATAGAGAGAACTTCCTTTGTGTTTTCCGTCCTTTATCTTCATCCGCGTCTCCATACTTCTTTCCCATATGACGGGAACATAATATTTAAGTTTAAATCTACATCCAAATACGAAGAGACTTACAAAATTACACGCATTTTTTCTTTTCCAAATTGAATGAACCGCGATGATTTTGCAACGTTATGTCAACGCATTGTGGTTTCTCGGCAAATGTTAAGGACGCATTTGAATGTATTAACATTGTTTATTCGCGTGACCCACCCAAACCAGATTTGAACATTCAAATTCAGCTTTATGTTACGGAGGAAAGTGAAGAATAAAAGATTGTATAGCTTAGCCACCGTGTAAGCATTCTGTGTGCAGTACTTTCTGATTCATCCTGAATAATTCTGTTGTGCAGTTTTTGTGTGTATTGTTTGTTCACCATGTTTCTCGTTCCCGTTTCCTTCTTTCTTTTCACCGCGGAGAGCCAGTCGGACAAAGGACGATAAACGGCCTCAGGATATGTAATCAACGACGCAGTTCCCGCACTGAATTACATTTCTGTTCTTAAAAAAAAACACACGCAGACGAATAGAGTTTTAACACTTTCACATGTTTTTGAGAGATTTCGTTTGAATCTCGTTCGTCTTGAATAGGAATTCATGTTTCATTCAACTTCTTTAGATAAATTCGAAACAGTAATTTGAAATCTGGAATCGGGATAGTTCAGTCTGTGTAGTGTCTAGGTTACGGGGTGTTAGAACTGGGTTCGATTTCTGGAAGGAGGAGAAAATTTGTTCTTCCCCAGACCAATTCTGGGGCTTAGCTAGACCGTTAACCAGTTAGTACCACTGGCTCTTAATTCGAGGTCAACGCGGCGAGATCGCGAAACTGACAACCCCCTTCCATTTAGTACTAAGATTAATAATGCTCAGAGCCATACCTCCACTCCCGCATAGGTCTTCATGGCGTCATGCTTAATTAAGAATGGCGGTGCGGGGAAATCCTTTGCGTTTAGAGAAGTCACAACCACATGCCGCAGTTCCACGTTCCTTTCCATTCGATGCTGACTGCAACTGACAGGCCGGGCGTGGAGTTTAATTAGTGTCCTAGTGGCTGTTCTCGCTTATTAGGTGGATGCATCCTACGTTGGCCAAGCGAGACACATAGGACAACAAAAAACATTTCGTTTGACAAAAATGCTCTTATTTAGGTTAGAGATCAGTGGGACGACCGCGGGCTGGGGTCTGTGACAGTATCTCTCTCTCTCTGCTGCTAGTATCCGCCTTGCGGGTCCTTTGTGAAGATCCCGATGTGGGGTTGGGGCACTAACAGAAAGTCATATTTACATTGGACTGTAAGCCTGACGGCAAAATGGAGATGTTCGGGGAAATCAAGAATCTAAGATGATGATGGTTTTATGAGGCCGTCAGTGTAGCACACAGTAGACTACTCTCAAGCTTCCAATGAAGCTAGTAGGTGTTTGTATTGTGTTTGTATTGTGTTTAGGCCTGTAAGAGCTCTCATCAAACGTACAGAGCTTTCTGAGTCTCATTACATGAGAATAGGACAAATAACATCGACAATTATGACTATGCTTTTCTACAGTGATGTTTATTTTGCTGGAACTGTTTCCTGTCGGAGCCGATCCCAGTGGCCGCGCGGCCTAATGCATGAACTGTCCTCGCTCTCTCGAACACTGGGATCGTGTGTTCGAATCCCACTCAAGGCATGGATATCTGTGTGCGTTTATTATTTGTTGGTGTTGTTCTGTATGTACGTGTAGGTAGCAGCCTTGCGACGGGCTGATCCCCCGTCCAAGGAGTCGTACCGACTGTGTATAGGATTAAGAAACAGAAAAAAGCGACCAAGGTCCAAAAAAGAACTGTAAAGCCATAGATAGACGGTTTCCTATTGCATGTCTGGTAGTCTAAGTGCTCTGTTAAATTGTACTTATTACAGTCGCGAGCGAAGGGGAAGGTAAATTACTGAATTGGATCTCACGTTCCTATCGATCACTTTTGAGCAATTATACGCGTACATTTCTATAAATATCGTCATAAGGTCATAAACTCCGTGGTTTAAGTCCGCAAGCGAACTATACCGACTGAGCGACCGCCGCTTGTCGGCGAAGTTAGTGCCAACTTCAGCGGATAGAGAATGTCTCATGGTCAGAGCAACGAATCCACACGGCCACGGTTTTGTAGACCGGAGCCGCTATTTCCTTGATATAGCTCCTCAGTTATTCTCATGAGGCTGAGTGAACCCCGTTCCAGACCCTCTACTTCTCAGAAAATCTTGTAGCGCCGGGAATCGAACCCGGAACCTCTGGATCTGTAGCCAGGAACTCTGACCACTAGATCACAGAGGCGGTCTAAGGTCACTAAAGCAACTGGAAATATTGTGTACACACGACAGAGATCTTGCTATTAATTTTTGCGAAACTAATATAATAGACAAATTCCTTCACTTTTACACTAAATATATTTTCTACATGACATGATTCAACTGAGAATCATGTTGGCATGATTTAAGACTGTGAAAAACATGCTTCGATGTCTATGGTATGGTGTAAATTATCAGATAACTAGGCATGGCCCGTTACTCTTGGATAAAGGTAATATGTGACTGAGTAATGATAGACAGGTTTGGATTGACTATTGGATTCAACGCACCATTATACAGCTCGCGATTACACTTCGCATCTCACTGTCACACACAGACTTGTGTCCTCAGTTACGTTGCTTGGTAACGACTTCCAACAGCGAGCGGACTTTCCTGTG